CATTCATGTCAATGGGAAATTTTTGGCAGAAAAAGCTGAATAACTTGAAAAATATTAAAGATATCAATGTCAAAAGTAGTGGCTGAAAAGAGCCTAACGAGCTGAATGTTTTGATTTTAAATGGTTGAAATAGCTAAAAAATTGAAGGAGTTGAAAAGGTTCAAAAAGTTTACTGAAGAAGAAGAAGAAGAAGAAGAAGAAGAAGAAGAAGAAGAAGAAGAAGAAGAAGAAGAAGAAGAAGAAGAAGAAGAAGAAGAAGAAGAAGAAGAAGAAGAAGAAGAAGAAGAAGAAGAAGAAGAAGAAGAAGAAGAAGAAGAAGAAGAAGAAGAAGAAGAAGAAGAAGAAGAAGAAGAAGACAATAGTTTGAATGCTGTGAAGCATTCATGGACATGTGCTGGGTTAAACAAGGGGACCTTTCCGTCACTGCAGGACTTTGCTCCATAATGACGTATGACCAATGTGTTATTAATTGAAACCCTTGTTCCTGTAGTCCCAGCTTCTTTCAGGCCCTTGAAACATTTCCCTCATGTAGTTCTGGGCCGTCTTATTACTGTAGCTACCCCACCAGGTGAGATCATGCTTGGAGCCCCAGGTCGAGGGAGATTGTCAGCGATCTTGTATTTATTCCACTTTCTATGTCATTTTACCACACACCTTTGTAGCGGTCACACTTTATAGCGTGACGACTGCAAATTAATTATGACCAATAAGATGTGATGATTTTATATAAACATGAAATATGAATCTGATTGATCTTTGAATGTTTGATCAGAAGATTATGGTTACTTTTACTTGTTCAGTGACCATAAACACACCGTATTAATTCAGACAGTCAAGTATTTAGTTAAAAAGGAATTTTATTCTTTTCTAAACTAATGATTAGACATGACAAGATATGAATAATGAGATGTGATGGAGTGGATATACAGTGATGGAGTGTGATGTGTAGGTGGTGTGATGTAAGTTAGATGTTTATCAGAATCTTTGTATCTGAAAGAAATCTGGGTGTAAAAGAAAAGCGGAGACCGCCAGCAGATCCGGACTGTCAGATGTCAGGTGGACCTCACAGCACCGAGATTTCGTAGATTAAACTCCGATACAACCCGTCCAGTATTGAGATGTCTCCAGGTCAAAACAGTAGCTGGAATGCTTGTTTGCGTCCAAAGTGGATGTGGCTCCGTCTGGCTGAGTCAGCTTGCAGCGTGCAAACAGGTTTTGACTGTATGTCAAAAGAGATGTCTCAAGTAAGCTTGTTCCGAAGTGGCCGGTTAGGAACTCCGCTAGAAACTGAATTACTGGGGAAGTAATTTTTGTTTTATTAAACTACTTTGTTATGCTTTCTGATGTATTCTGGCAAATCAGAATGTGCCATTTCTGGAAGGCTTTACCAAAACATTCCTCAGAAAGTCACGCCTTCCTTCAGATACAAAAATGTTTTTAACCTTAATATGTATCTTATTGTAATGTGTATGAGTGTAAACAATGATTAACTTGTTAAATCAAACACATACTGATTTGTGATATAAATGGATCATTGTAAGAACAATATTCATTTCAAATTCATTGATTTAAGCACAGATTACTCAAACATTTGAGTTAGACCTCTTGTTCATTCATCACATATGATTATTTATATACAGCGCTTTGTGATTTATATCTGTGAAAGGCGCTATATAAATAAACTTTTACTTACTTACTTTACTTACTTACTTACTTATTTAACTTATAAGTTGTAAAGTCTTGTTGGATTCGTTTGGATTCACTTTTATTCAGAGTGAGGAATCCAGCAGTCTGGGCAGAGAGATAAGGGCTTTTGCGGGAGACCTTGACAGTTTATTTATGTCTGCGTTGAAGAACACTAAGTGAGCAAAAGGTTGATATGTGCATCTGAATCCTCCAGCTGGTGTGACCTTGACTCTGCAGCTCTGGGATGTATGAAAGGTTACTGTGTCAATTCGATGGTGAAAACGGACCCTTTTGGTTCATTACACCTTCAAACAGGTGCCACTAATACAGGTAATGAGTGGAGGATAGAAGAGCCTCTTGAAGAAGTACCTGGTCTGTAAGGCCAGAATTGGTTTGTAGTAACTGAATACTTATTTTCTGCACCATTTTACAACAATTAATAATAATAATAATAATACATTTTATTTTAACAGCGCCTTTCTGAACACTCAAGGACACTTTACAGAGATAAAATACACAACAATAAAAGATAAAACAGCATAAAACAAACAGACAGAATGGAGCAAAGAGAGTAACTATTGGAATGCTAGACGGAACAGGTGAGTTTTGAGTCTGGTTTTAAAGAGAGTGAGGGAATCAATGTTACGGAGGTCAGGAGGGAGTGAGTTCCAGAGCTGGGGAGCAGAGCGGCTGAAGGCCCTGCTCCCCAGAGTGACCAGATGGAAAGGTGGGACAGAGAGGTGGATGGAGGAGGAGGACCTGAGGGAACGGGTGGAGGTTGAAGGATGAAGGAGGTCTGAGAGGTACGGTAGACCTAGGTTATGGATGGCTTTGAATGTATATAGCAGAATTTTGAATTGGATTCTGGAAGTGACTGGGAGCCAGTGGAGCTGCTGAAGAACAGGGGTGATGTGGTGGAAGGAGGGAGTTCTGGAAATGATGCGGGCTGCCGAGTTCTGGAGAAGTTGGAGTTAACGGAGGGTTTTGTGAGGAAGACCGAAGAGAAGAGCGTTGCAGTAGTCAATACGGGAAGTGATGAGGCTGTGGACAAGGATGGCGACCGAGTGAGTAGTGAGGGAGGGGCGTAGGCGGTTAATGTTACGTAGATGGAAGTAGGCAGACCGGGTAATATTGTTTATGTGGGACTGGAAGGATAGTGAGGAGTCGAGGATGACACCCAGACTCTTGACCTGAGGGGAGGGGGAAACTAAGGAGTTGTCGACGGGAAGTGTAAAGCTGTGGATTTTGGATAGTAAAGATTTAGTGCCGACAAGTAACATTTCTGTTTTATCACTGTTGAGTTTGAGAAAGTTTGATGTGAACCAGTCTTTGATTTCAGATAAACAATTGGTGAGGGAGGAAGGAGGAAGTGAAGAGGAGGGTTTGGAGTGGTACATAGAGCTGGGTGTAATCCGCGTAACAATGAAAATGGATGTCAAATTTATGGAAAATATTTCCCAGGGGAAGAAGGTAAGTGATGAAAAGGAGTGGACCGAGAACAGAGCCTTGGGGGATGCCAGTAGTGACAGGGAAGGGACGGGAAGTAAAGGATTTGAGTTGAATAAACTGAGTACGGCCAGAGAGATGTGAATGGAACCAATCAAGCGGGGTATGAGAAATGCCAAGGGAAGACAATCTATGGAGGAGGATGGTGTGAGAGATGGTATCGAAGGCTGAACTCAAGTCGAGGAGGATGAGAATGGAGAGCAGTCCAGTATCGGCAGCAGTGAGGAGGTCATTAGTGATTTTTATGAGTGCAGTTTCTGTACTGTGGCCAGGACCAAAGCCAGACTGCAAGGGCTCATAGAGGCTATTGAGCGTGAGATGAGCATGGAGTTGAGCAGAGATTATTTTTTCAAGGATTTTTGAAAGAAAGGGAAGATTTGAGATGGGACGAAGATTATTGAAATTATTGGGATCGGTGCCGGGTTTCTTTAATATTGGAGTAATAGATGCAGTTTCGAAAAGTGAGGGAACAATACCGGTAGAGAGGGAGGAGTGGATTATGGCGGTTATGAGAGGGAGAAGGGAGGTGAGACATGTTTTAACCAAAACTGTAGGGAGGGGGTCGAGAGAGCAGGTGGTGGGCTTGGATTTGCAGATAATATCAGATATTTCGGATGAGGTGGGAAGAAGAAAGGAACAAAATGACTGGCCGGGTGAAAAAATCTCAGGGGGAGGGGAAGAACTTGGAATTAATTGCTGGTGTATGGAAGCAATTTTCTGAATAAAGAAGGTTAATAAAGAGTTACATGAGTCAGCAGAATACAGGTGGGGGGGTAGAGAGTCCGGGGGATGAAAAATATTGCGCATTATTGAGAACAGAGTCAGTGGAGTTGCCTTCATTGGAGGAAACCAATCCAGAGTAGAAAGCAGATTTTGTATGTTTAATAGAGTCCGTATTGAAGCAGATGAGTTTTGTGCATTTCTTTGCGTACTGCAAGACCAGTTCTTTTATGGAGGCGTTCGAGTTGACGTCCTTTGGCTTTCATCTGTCAGAGTTCAGGGGTAAACCAGGGGGCAGAGTTAGTAAAGGAGACGGACAGAGTTTTGACTGGGGCAAGAGAATCCAAGATATTGTGGAGTGTGGAGTTATAATGAGAAACAAGATGGTCAGGTGAAGCAGAACTAGGGATGTATATAGTGTTAATAATAGATGACAGGGTGTCTGGGTTAATGTTTTTGATATTGCGGAATGAGATGTGACGGATAGGCTTAGTTCTTAAAGAGCAGAGGGGTATGTTGAATGACAGAAAAAAGTGATCAGATATATTTACATCATTAGCAGAACAGTTAGATGGGGTTAAATTACTACATTTACATTTAGTAACACTTTACGATAAGGGTCCCTTTATTACCGTACTTAATGTATTATTAAGCATTAATAAACAAAGGTCTCTTATTAACTTCATTGTCAACTATTAAGTGTCCTTAAGGTTAGGACAAAGGGTCGGGGGGGGGGGGGGGGGGGATGGGCTGCTTAGTATTGCTTTACACATTATGGTTAAGAAGTTGTTAATATTTTAATAGTTTATTAATACTTAATAATGCACTAAATAACGTAATAATAGGACCCTTAATGTGAGGTGTTACACTATTTTTTAAGAATCATAAAATCTGATTTGCCAAATCTGTCTCTCACAGTTGAAATGTTCCTATGATGATAATTACAGATCTCGTCTTTTTGAGTGGGACAACCAAACAGGGTTTTACCCAACTGTGTGATCAATGAGAGAAGAAATCGTCTGACCCTCTATCGAGGTTTCAGTTTGATTCACAATCCTCTCACTGAATGTTTGTTTTTCTGTCCAAAGAAAGAAAGTTACTGCTGGGAAGGACAACATGACCTGTACAGGGACAGCCAAGAAATATCACCTCTGCAACACCAAAGTGAGTGGTGGACGCCCCGGTGACGTGTCGTCTCTTCATTTCTTTTATTTGAACAAACACAGAAGCTCCAGCTGGCTGTCAGCCGAGCTTCGTGGTTTTGGTGAGAGGACAAAGATCAGGCTGAGCTCCACGCTGTCGTGGTGCCACAGATAAAAAAGGAAGTTTTCTGTTCAACAAACTGAAACCAGAGGAGGACTGTGATGGTTTTTGTTGAACAGGAATGTCCCGCCGCTGGGAGGAGCTTCAGAGAGGAGCAGTGTTGGTCGTTTAACTCGCAGCTTTACAACGGGAGGAGCTACCAGTGGAAACCGCTCTACCCTGGTGAGAGGAGCCTTAAAGAGATTTTTATTCTTAATCTCCATCCAAATGCCATTAGTAATGAATTAAATGAGGCCCAGCTAACTTCATAACAAATACCCCCCAAAAAATCTGGTCTAAAATACATGGAAGTGGGTCTAAGGGTGTTTCTCAGTGTCAAGGCGCCTGACCTCGCTAGACGGCCTTCTTGTCTTGTCTTGCGAGGCCAGGCGCCTTACTAACGAGGACACTGCCCTTCCTTGGTCAAAGAAAACGGTTAAATGGAACAGACTTGCATCACCGCGGAAGCCACGCAACGTCATGTGACATCGGAGTTAATGTTATATTTTATACATATAAGTTTCAATATACATATATAACAAGGCTTTTACCTTTTCAATTGTGCATTTATTTGTTAAACTAAATATGTGAGCGAGTTACTACCTGCTAACAATTGAAACTGCAACTACTAAGCAACTAACCAACCATAGATAACTTCTTTGGATATAAAAAATAACATTTTTGATATCAGCCCGATAGCGACAATTAGTTGACTTACATTTAAACTTGAAATTTGCCCCCAAAGTAGCTGCCGGCTTATAATCCGCCAGCACTGGGACACCCTACACACTCGCACCGCTGGCCGGTTTTGTGTCGTTGAAGGGTACAAGTGTGGAAGTGCGAGTTTTGGGATTGGGCCTTACTAAAAAACAAAAATACCATTTGTTGGCAATGATTTTGGTATATACTGCCCCCTATTGCCAGGGAAAATAGTGTCTTTATGGGTCTGAGGTTTAGGGCACCTACCAGCTACAGGGTCTGCTTCAGTTCTGCTCCAGCTACCAGGCCCAGGTTCTGCTACAGCTACCAGACCAGGCTCTACTGGGATGAGACCTCGGAGTGAACGCTCCGTGTTGCTGCTGCTGCTGGATTCAGGAAAACACCGTCCAGATCGAGATTTGACCGACTTGCTGCCTCACCAGCTACCAGGCCAGGCCCCGGCTCCAGCCTGCCGCACCAGCTACCAGGGTAGCTACTATGAGGATCCTCCTGCTCCACCAGGACAAGGATCTTCCACCAACCACTGGGCCCAGGCTCCTCTAGCAAGGTACCAACAAGAAAACCGACAGTGACTTCAGTGGGCCATCACAAGAAATATCATTCTCACCATTTTCAAGATGGCTCCTTGAAAAGCAAACCCAGGAGTTGAAGAGGAGTTGGAGGAGAGTAGAAAATCACTTAATTTCATGTCTGATGAACTGAGCAAAGTGGCTAAACAACAAGGTATGCTTCATGACCTCATGGATGAAATAAAACAACAAAAAATTTGATAAAAGAGAAGGACAAGAAAATAGATGACTTGGTATGGCGAATTGAGGACCTTAAACAATATACAAGAATGGAGGATTTAGTCATAACTGGATTGGAGACGCAACACCGAACCTACACCAGAGTAACAGCTGGCGGAGGTAAAGATTGTGAAGATGCCCCAGTAAAGGGGCTGCAAACGCTTGAACAGCAAGTGATAAAATTCCTTCAAACGAAGAATGTGAGTATTCAGAGCCATCGTATCGCAGTACGTCACACGCTACCCAGAAAAGACAGTAGAACAAAGCCAGCAATTATTCTTTGGTTTGTGAGTCGCAAAACAAAGATAGAGTTACTGAAACAGGGAAAGAAGTTCAAAGGGACCGCTGTGTATTTAAATGAACATTTAACGAGGAGTACCCACCCTTTTTGGAGTCCCTGGGGCGAGTGCTAAATAGCACTCCATCAGGGGACTCCATTGTCCTGCTGGGGGACTTCAATGTTCACGTGGGCAATGACAGCATGACCTGGAGAGGTGTGATTGGGAGGAACGGCCCGCCTGATTTGAACTCGAGTGGTGTTTCGTTATTGGACTTCTGTGCAAGCCGCAGTTTGGCCATAACGAACACCATGTTCGAACATAAGGATGCCCATCGGTACACTTGGTACCAGGGCAGCCTAGGTCGCAGGTTGATGATAGACTTTGTAGTCGTATCATCTGACCTGCGGCCGTATGTTTTGGACACCCGAGTGAAGAGAGGGGCGGAGCTGTCAACTGATCACCACCTGGTGGTGAGTTGGATCAGATGGCAGGGTCAGATGCCGTGTAGACCTGGCAGACCCAAACGCATAGTGAGGGTCTGCTGGGAACGCCTGGCAGAAGAACCTGTCAAGACGGTCTTCAACTCCCACCTCCGGCAGAGCTTTGACCGCGTCCCGAGAGTAGTGGGGGACATTGAGTCCGAGTGGGCCTTGTTCCACTCTGCGATTGTTGAGGCGGCTGTTGCTAGCTGTGGTCGCAAGGTGGCCGGTGCCAGTCGTGGTGGCAACCCCCGTACCTGTTGGGACACCAGAGGTTCGGGGAGCCGTCAGGCTGAAGAAGGAGGCCTACAGGGCGTGGCTGGTCTGTGGGTCTCCGGAGGTAGCAGACAGGTACCGGATAGCCAAGCGGGGTGCAGCAGTGGCAGTTGCAGAGGCAAAATCTTGGGCGTGGGAGGAGTTTGGTGAGGCCATGGAGAAAGACTATCGATCGGCTCCAAAGAGAATCTGGCAAACTGTCCGGCGCCTCAGGAGAGGAAGGCAGCAACTCGCTCACACTGTTTACAGTGGGGATGGGGAGCTGCTGACGTCAACTGGGGCTATAGTCGGACGGTGGAAGGAATACTTTGAGGAGCTCCACAATCCCACCTACGCGCATTCCGAGGAGGAACCAGAGCCGGGAGACCTGGGGATGGACTGTCCAATCTCGGGGGCAGAAGTTGCTGAGGTAGTCAAACAACTACACAGCGGCGGAGCACCGGGGGCGGATGAGATTGGTCCTGGGTATCTCAAAGCTATGGATGTTGTAGGGCTGTCGTGGTTGACATGTCCCTGCAACATTGAGTGGTCATAGGGGGCAGTTCCTGTGGAGTGGCAGACCGGGGTGGTGGTCCCCATCTTTAAGAAGGGTGACCTGAGGGTGTGTTCCAACTATAGGGGATCACACTCCTCAGCCTCACTGGAAAGGTCTACTCCAGGGTACTGGAGAGGAGGGTCCGATCGATAGTTGAATCTCAGATTCAGGAGGAGCAATGTGGTTTTCGTCCTGGCCGTAGAACTGTGGACCAGCTCTGTACCCTTGCAAGGGTGATGGAGGGGGCATGGGAGTTTGCCCAACCAATCCACATGAGTTTTGTGGATCTGGAGAAGGCTTATGACCGTGTCCCCAGGGACACCCTGTGGGTGACGCTCCAGGAGTATGGGGTGGGTGGCTTTCTGTTTAGGGCCATTCAGTCCCTTTACCAGAGGAGCGTGAGTTTGGTCCGCATAGCCGGTAGTAAGTCGGACCTGTTCCCGGTGAGGGTTGGACTCCGCCAGGGCTGCCCTTTGTCACCGGTTCTGTTCATTACCTTTATGGACAGAATTTCTAGGCGCAGCCGTGGTGTGGAGTGTGTCGAGTTTGGTGGCAGGAGAATCTCGTCTCTGCTTTTTGCGGATGATGTGGTCCTCCTAGCTTCATCCAGCTCTGACCTTCAGCTCTTGCTGGGTAGGTTCGCGGCCGAGTGTGAAGCGGCTGGGATGAGGATCAGCACCTCCAAATCTGAGACCATGGATCTCGACCGGAAAAGGGTGGCTTGCCAACTCCGGGTCGGGGGAGAGGTCCTACCTCAAGTGGAGGAGTTTAAGTATCTCGGGGTCTTGTTCACGAGTGAGGGTAGGAGGAATCGGGAGATCGACAGGCGGATTGGTTCGGCGTCTGCAGTGATGCGGACGCTGAGCCGATCTGTCGTGGTGAAGAGGGAGCTGAGCCAGAAAGCCAGGCTCTCGATTTACCGGTCGATCTACGTCCCAATCCTCACCTATGGTCATGAGCTTTGGGTAATGACCGAAAGAACAAGATCACGGATACAAGCGGCCAAAATGAGTTTCCTCCGTAGGGTGGCCGGGCTCAGCCTTAGAGATAGGGTGAGGAGCTTGGACATTCGGGAGGGACTCTGAGTAATACTGCTGCTCCTCTGGATCGAAAGGTGTCAGTTGAGGTGGTTTGGGCATCTGGTCAGGATGCATCCTGGACGCCTCCCTGGGGAGGTGTTTCGGGCATGTCCTGCCGGCAGGAGGCCCCCGGGCCGACCCAGGACACGTTGGAGAGGTTCTGGTCTGGGAACGCCTTGGGGTCCTGCTGGAGGAGCTGGTGGAGGTGGCCGGGGAGAGGATGGTCTGGAGCTCCCTAGTTGGGATGCTGCCCCCGCAACCCGGACCCGGATAAGCGGAGGAAGACGATGATGACAATTAACGAAAAAGAATGCTGAAATTGCAAGACAGGTCCGCAGCCTGAAAAAACAACATAAGATATAAGCGACATGGACGAGGAACTGCAAAGTAATGATGAGTTTAAATAGCAATCCCGAAGAAGAGAAGTTGTGATGATAAGTGACCTGAAAGACTTAGAGCAATATAAATAATCAGGAGTCTGCTATGGAATCTACTGGAAAAGTGACAATTGAATGATGAACAATAGGTGTGGAAAATGCTTCTGGCCTTGTTGCTCACACAACAATGGAAAAACAAAAAAAACAAACAAAAAATACATAAATAAATACACATTGTCACTTTTATACGTGTAAAAATAACACTAACTAAATAAAATACAACACACAACTTTCAAATGATGAAAATCTCACTTAGAATATTAAGTGTATTGATATTATCCTATAAAATAAAGTTTAAACAACCATTAAAATTGTTTTAACCTGAAGTAAAACATTAAAGAATGATGATGAGCTACACTGTAGCCACAGCTGCCCTGTGGCACACTAACACAAGCGCCACCGGTCCCTTGGATAAGGTGGGCTAAGTGTCTTGCCCAAGGACACAACAGCAGTGACTGAGCGGGGTTCGAGCCTGCAACCTTCCGATTACGGGACAAGCACTTAACCCAGAGCGGGTTGTCCAGTAATCAGAAGGTTGTAGGTTCAATCCAGGATCCTGCCAGTGACTTCTACTGTTGTGCCCTTGAGCAAGACACTTTACCCAATTTGCCCGCTGGTGGTGGTCGGAGGGACTGGTGCCACCTGTGTTCGGCTGTCTCGCTTCCATCAGTGAGAGAATAACTAGCATGATTCCATTTTTAGATGACTACGTCCACATCTCCAGTAACCCATGTGACCTCCACTGCACCACGACCGACGGTCAGAGGCAGCTGATGGTGACGGCGCGAGACGGCACCTCCTGCAAGTACAGCAGCTACCGCGGCGTCTGCGTGGACGGGACATGTGAGGTGAGAAGGTCCGAGACTGTCGGATGCAGATCCCTTCTGGGACAAAACTCTCGATATCTTTGGCTTTTGTCTGGAATGACACGAACCTTCTCCCTGCCAAGCCGATCGGATGCGACGGAGTGCTGTTCTCCTCCAATGCTTTGGACAAATGTGGCGTTTGTCAGGGCGACGGTAGCAGCTGCAGCCGAGTCACCGGAAACTTCCGCCGTGGTGCGTCCACCCTGGGTGAGTCCACACTTTAAAAACGTTTAATGAATCTCTTGTTACACTAAAATAGGGGAATTCTGGGAAAATGACAAGTTTGTTTTCCTGTGAAGGTTACTCATTCATCACCCAAATTCCTGAAGGATCCTGGGACATCCAGATAATCGAGAGAAAGAAATCCGCTGATGTTCTCGGTACATTTCCTCCTCCTCCTCCTCCTCCTCCTCATCATCATCATCATCATCATAAATATGGTGCTTCTGCCGTTTCCTCAGAACTTTGACTTTTTTTTGCTCCTCAGCTGTGACCGACCAGGCGGGAAACTTCTTCTTCAATGGCGCCTATAAGCTGGACAGTCCCCAGAACTTCCACGCAGCAGGAACCATTTTTAAATACCGCCGACCCATGGATGTTTACGAGACTGGGATCGAGTACATCGTGGCCAAAGGCCCCCTTGACCAGGCCATAAACATCCTGGTACCGACTCATGAGACTTTCACCAGAACGTTTAAATGTGATTTTGAGATTTTCTGTGGATTAGAAAAGGGAAGAAATGATTAAAATGATGAGAAATGCAAATAAAATAAAACAGGGTGTGCAGAGAAACCGGAATCCAACTTGCAAACATAGAAAAACAAATGAACAGACACATCTGGAAACTAAAAAGTGTTTACCTGTCACATCTTCAGGTGTGGAACCAGAATGGCCGTACGCCCTACATCACCTACGAGTACACCGTCCTCAGAGACTCCCTGCCTCCCCTCCCCCCTCCTCCGGTCTACACGGGGTCGGACTCCTCAGCCGGAGAGGTGTCGGTGGAAGAGGGCAGCCTTTTGACCCCTAACAGCAGCATTTTCCAGGATGTCCCCGGGGACCAGCTGGAGACAAGTGATGCTGATGGTCAGAAGAGTCAAGAGACCAACGAGGTCTATGAGGAGACGGCGGCCATTGGCTGTGACCAGGACAAAGCCACGCCCCCTAAGTTTACAGGTGAGAGTCAGTTCAAAGGTCAAGGTCAGGCACAGCAGGATTTCCTTCATATTTGTCCCTGAATCAGAGAATCAGAGAAAGCTTTATTGCCAGTGCTCCAGCGAACCAGAGCATAGGAACTTGACTTCACAGAACAGCCTGACCAAGGTTACACACACACATGTAGACAGAACAGATACAGGCAGACCACGAGAGCAGCCATAACGGCGCTCATTTCAATTAGATGAAAAGGGGATTGCATGAGGAAAGTTGGGGGAGGGAAAAAAAGGCATACCAGAGTTACTCCCGGCAGGGCGTAGCTCTACTATGCAAAAAAAACCCTCAAACATATAAGCACGAACATCACAGTTCACAACATGAGACTCCGATAGGGAGGCGGGGGGGATCCTGTTTCCTCAGCGGGAATAGCGTAGCGATGGACGTGTAAAGGTTTAGAATGTAATTTCACAGGAAGTTTTGGAGATTAAAGTCATTCCACGATTTGGAATCTTAAAACAATTCCTCCAAAAGTCGTTTAAAGCCTCCGCGTGGCTCCCAGCTTCATGTTGGATGTTGATATTCTGACATTTTGCACTGAAATAATCCATAAAAGTAACTTGATTCTACTTTTCTCCACCTGAAGGGAACAGCAGCCAATCAGAGAGCACTGCCAAACCGGCCCCCGACGGTGGTCCCCTGGACCCCAGACCGGACTCAACCAACCTCATCTGGAGGGTCCTGCTGGACGGACGAATGGGCCCGGACGAGCTGCTCATCAACATCTCCACCAATCAGCTGCTGACGGAGGGGGACGGTTTGTTCCCGTCCGATCTGGACCTGAGCAGCCTGGAGCGGGCCGGCCCGTTTGACCTGAATGAGACGCTGGAGTTCGCTCTAGGCCACAGAGGCAACGACAGCGGAGACAACCAGAACCGGACGGTCCAGAACAACGGCAAGACCTCTGGCCGCTCCAACAGAACCAGGTCACCAAACAGAACGCACCTAAAGGAAGAACCGGGTTTAGTTTTATGCTGAAAAACTTTGTCGACAAACAGTAAAGCCGTCAGGAAGTTTAAATATCAGCTGATGGGCGGATAGACATCACAGGCGGTAAATCTGTGAGGCTGGACGGTTAGCCTGTAGACGTGGACCTAAAGACAGGATGGGCAGGTTCAGTATTAATCACAGTAATAACTCATGGTAACCTCTGCACAGAAAGAAAAACACACACAACACATCCTTTCATCGGGAACGAGCACAGAGGGAATGGACGGGAAACACTCAGCAGCAAACAATTCCAAGTATTTGTAAGAATAGTGGGAAATACTACGGGAAAGGGAAAGCGTGCCGCCGTCTCGGGAGGAATTGAAAGGTGAGAGAAGGACAGGCGGACATGGAGGTAAAACTCAGGAGATGTAAGGTTCCAGCGAACATCTGGCAAAAGAACGACCGGTGTTACGACAAGAATGTGACATTTTATGTGATGTGGTGAAATAACAAGACAAATAAAGCTAATCTGCAGGATTTCAGGCTGTAAATCAGCTGTCTGCTCTGTAGATACGACTGGGTATCCTTAAACGTCCTTTTACTTAAAACAATCCTTACCTCCAGAGGTTTCAGGCTCCAGAAGCTGGTCTCTTATTCACTCAGACATTTGCAGAATCCACTCATGTCTACAGTTAAACACAGTGTTGGGAGCAACGGCGTTCTTTTTTAGGTAACGGAATAATCTAATTAATTACTTTCCCGCCGTTGCAACGCCATTACCGTTACTGGGGACGGAAGGTTGTGCGTTACTATGTGCTTGTTGAAGTTTGAGCAACAGTGTGAGGCTTTCTGACCGCCACACTTCAGCTGCAGCCAGGGAGAGAGAGGTGTCGGTAACGCGCTTACAAACACGATGATGATTGGCCGGGTGGGCGGAGACCCTCAGTGTTCTCACTGTCTCAGCATGCTGTAGACCCACCAGAGCAGTGATGGGAATAACACCGTTTAAAATAACTACAAAAATATGTTTTTCAGTAATGAGCAAACCAATTAATTACCGTCTTCTTTTATCAAAACGTCGTTTCTGTTACTGACAAGGAAAAGTGTGCGTTAAGCAGCGCGGTGTGTTGAAGCTGTCGTCAGCTGATCAGGAGCTAAAGAGGCAGATGTTTGCATCCAAGCGCATCACGGCCCGTGGAGAACGAGGAAGACGTGATGAATAGTCTACGGCTGCAGGTGTGGATCTGCAGCCGTGCCCTTCTTAGCGTGACAGCGGGACGTCCCGAAGGTCCGCTCACCTGTTCACCGCTCAGACGTCCTGATCTTCTACCTTCCTAGATCATCCAGCTGTAACCTGTTTCTGATCACGTCTCTAGTCCCGCCGTAACACTGATGCATCAGTCTCAGACGCCATGGAGCTCAGGTGTTATTAGAACTACCTGTGTGTGTTTACCACCCAGCTTCAGCTCTTCTGTGGTTGGGTCTGACCCAAGTTAGTAAATGTAAGTCCTCCATCAGGCTTGTGCCTCTTCTAGTGTCATTTTAAAGGATTTTATTTATTTATTTAACCATTACTAGATTAGCAGCAACAGAAATGCTGCTAATAATTATGCGAAGCTGGAAAAACTTAGAATTACATTCATTTCTGTAATTTAACTAGACTGAGAGACCATCTAAAGGCTCGGGAACCTTTACAGGTGTTTCTATTTACAATTTTAAATTCTAGCTGATTGGGGTCTTGTTAAATATCACACAGTGACCTTTTAATAGTCTAGATTAGTGTAATGTTAGGGTTAGTAGTTCCTCCTGTTAAGTGCTTATTTATTTAAATTATTCAGGTTTATAAAAAACATTTGGACATTTTATTACGTTCCAGTCATTAGTCATTTATATTTCACTGTTGTAGTCATTTATAGTAAATTAAGTAAGTTTAATTAAGAGGGGAACCCATTTTTCTAGCATTTTTAAATGAAAAAAGTAACTAAGTAGTTATTTTTCTTGGTAATTAGTTACTTGTATAATCTCGTAAGTCAGTTAGTAACTGAGTTACTTTTTTGACAAAGTAATCAGTAACTATAACTAATTACTTTTTAAAAGTAACGTTCCGAACACTGGTTAAACATTCCCACAGTTTTCCTGATGGTTTCTGTGTTGAACACAGAGGGAATCAAAGGTTCCACCAGAAGAACATGAAACTGAGCCCAGCAGACATGTACCGCTGGAAGCTTTCCTCTCAGGAGCCCTGCAGCATGACCTGCTCCATAGGTAGTTGTAAAATCCTGCGGCACGCACCGGATTCTCCGTCGGGGGGGGGAGGTTTAACATCCTTCTGATTCCTCCACCCAGGGGTGTCCAAGTCCTTTGTCTCCTGCGTGCGTTATGATGGCGTTGAGGTTCACGACATGTACTGTGATGCTCTGACCAGACCAGAACCAGTCCACGACTTCTGCATTGGGAGAGAGTGTCAGCCCAGGTGAGATCTGCTGAAGGTTTTGTTTCTGGCTCTAACGATGACAAAGCCAGAGCATCCCTCAGGTGAGACAAATGTGTGCCTCCAGGTGGGAAGCGAGCAGCTGGAGCGAGTGCTCCAGAACCTGTGGAGAGGGTTTCCAGTTTCGACAAGTCCGCTGCTGGAAGATGCTGTCCCCGGGTCTGGACAGCTCGGTCTACAGTGACCTCTGCACCATGGCTGACCTGGAGAGACCCGTGGAGAGGCGAGCGTGTAAGAGCCCTGCCTGCGGTCCTCAGTGGGAGGTGGCAGAGTGGATGGAGGTACGACTTGACCCAGTCAGGAGGACGCATCATCAGAACAGTCATGTGACCTCTTCTAAATAAAATCATTTCATTAGCAACAGTGGTTCCTTTGCTTTGGATCCAGATTTTTCTGAGGTTTTCTGATTTTTGTTGTTAAGGATGGTCATAATCAGGTGACTCTTTTATCCAGTGTCCTGCTAAATGTGGTCGCAAAGCTCAGGTGAGCCGTGATGTCCGTTGCTCAGATGAGACCAGACCGTGTGACCCCATGACCCAACCACCAAACGTCAAAAACTGCACCGGTCCCCCCTGTGAACGCCACTGGACGGTGTCTGAGTGGGGTCCTGTAAGTGCCTGAATAAACCCGATGCTACAAATGTCAAGTAAAGATGCAGAAAAATTGGATTTTGGGGGGATTTTTTAGGCTTTTCTGTTTGATTTCTGCTTGCTGCAGTGCTCCGGCTCCTGCGGTCAGGGGAAGATGATGCGTCATGTTTACTGTAAGACCCCGGAGGGTCGCGTGGTCCCTGAGAACCAGTGCTCCCCTGAGACCAAGCCTCTGGCCACGCAGCCCTGCGGGGAGAGGGACTGCGCTCCTCACTGGCTGAGCCAAGACTGGGAGCAGGTGAGACACGCGGCAGGACGTCTCCACAGGTGTGTTAGAGAGAACTCCTGCAGCGTAACGTTTGTGTCTGTAGTGCAACACGACCTGCGGCCGCGGCGTCAAACTAAGGATCGTCCAGTGTGTCGGCATCAGCGGAGGAAAGTTCCAGGTTTTTGATGAAGAGGCGTGTGGAGGCAGCGAGAAACCGGAAGACGAAACCACCTGCTTCGAGAGACCGTGCTTCAAATGGTACACGACCCCCTGGTCCGAGGTAAAACACAACTACTCTGGGCTGAAAGCGTGGGCATACCTAGGGGTGGGGCCTCGGGGGCATTAGCCCCTGCTGTCACTCATCTGTCTTAGCTGTGCAAAAGTTTGAGGTAGGTGTGAATGAATGTAAACAAAGAAGATTTCAGAAATAGAAATAATGTTTGTTTAGTTTTATCAATTTAAAAAATGCAAAGTGAGTGACCCCAAACATCCAGCCAAGGTCACTCAGAACCATCTTCAGCAAAGAGAACAAGAGCTCCTGGAAGGGATGGTCTGGCACCTACAGAGCCCTGCACTTGTTTAGCGCCTTCTTAGGTTCCTACAACCCCCCAAGGCGCTTCACAACACAATCAGTCATTCACACACTAGGGAGGAGGAGCCAGATGTAGTCACAGCTGCCCTGGAGCGCGTTGACAAAGGAGACGTCTGCCGAACACTAGCACCACCGGGCCCCTCCGACCACCACCAGCAGGCAAGGTGGGTTTAGTGTCTTGCCCAAGGGAACAACAGCAGCATTCTCGGGTGGGAGTCGGAATCAAACCTGCAACCTTCTGATTACTGGACAACCCGCTCTACCTCCTGAGCCACTGCTGTCCCAGATGATCTGTCCACATGAGGAGACAGACAGATGCGAGGAAGCCTACATCCACAGAAGATCTGTGGTTAGTTCTCCGAGATGTCTGGAGCACCCTCCCAGTCCAAGTGGAGCTAGAAGATCTGATGATGTTTAGAAGGCAGAGGGTGGTCACACCACATATTCATTCATTCATTCATTCATTCATTCATTCATGTTGACTGATGAAAATAAAAGATTAAATCCCTTTTTGAAAGCATTCTTTCCTTCCACTGCCGTCTAAAACTTTTGCACAGTACTGTAAGTACAGTACTTTTGCTCGAAGTACAGGGCGAGGAGGAGGAGTGGCAACCATTTTTCATTCGGACTTATTAATCAGTCCCTTACCAATTAATAGCTACAGTTCGTTCGAACATCTTATTCTTAGTTTTCCTAATCCAGATTGCAAAACTGTAAAACCACTCTTGTTTGTAGTTTTATATCGTCCACCAGGCCCTTACTCTGAGTTTTTGGAACAGATCTCTGATTTTTTATCTGATTTGGTGCTAAATACTGATAAGGTCATTGTAGTGGGGGATTTTAACATTCATATGGACATTGAAAATGATAGCCTCAATGTGGCCTTTAGTAATATCTTAGACTCAATTGGACAACCCTGAGCATTCTCTTCACAAGACTGTCCGACAACGGAAGAGTGTCTTCAGTCAGAGTCTTCTTCAGTTTGGCTGCAACACTGACCGCTACTGGAGATCCTTCCTGCCAACAGCCAATGTAATATACAACACCTCTTTGATGACTTGATTATTATTATTATTATTCTGAGCTACTACAGCAATCAATTTCCCTCTGGGATTAATAAAGTATTTTTGAATTGAATTGAATTGAATACCGTGGGCCCTTGATGGCCCCATGCTCAGAAAAGCCCTAGCTCCACCTCTGGAACACAAGGAATAAATGATCAAACCTGGAAATGAATGGAATCTTCTGGTAACGCATCACGAGTAATGAACTTAATCAGTTTAACGTGAGATGAGATTTACTTCAGATATCTCAAAGTTAAGCTACAAAGCACAAACACCTAGTTAAAGTTTACATTAGAGGTTTGTTGATCATTATAATAAAAAACTACATTTTATCAAATGTAAACAGATTTTGTTTGTTCCTGTCCTCAGTGCACGAAGACGTGTGGCATTGGTGTGAGGATGAGGGACGTGAAGTGTTACCAGGGCAGGGAGCTGGTCCGGGGCTGCGACCCTCTAACCAAACCGGTGTCCAAACAGACCTGCACCCTGCAGCCCTGCCCCACCGAGCCTCCAGGTAAACCCACACCACCTAACCAGGTCTTAACTAGCTGGTTAACGACACGCGTCAGTCCACTCGCGGGTTCTCTCTGAGATGGATACGGACACAACTTGATGCCACAGCAAAAGAAGAAGAAGAAGAAGAAAGTGAGATTAAAGACAGAAGTATTTTATTTAAGGGGAAAGCCTTTTAGCAAAACTCACTGAACCTCCTTCAGTCCTTCATAATAAGAGTCTAATTGTTTCCTGAAAACATCAGAAGTTTATAAAAATGTGTTTCTATTGTTCTCAGCTGTTGTTAAAGGCTGCGGGTAGTTTGAGGTGTGTTAGACTTTTATTGTGAAAGACCAAAGGAAGTTATTTGCTTGTGGACGCTGCTGCAGAAGGAGACCGAAGCTGTGCTTTTTTATTTTTATTTTTTGTCACATTTAACTGGTTAAATAAACACAATCCTCAGTCAGTACTAAAAATGGATCAAAAGCAGCTGACTCCTAGCCCTTTTCAGAACACGTGTGGACAATTCAGTCCGGTTTTAACCAGAACTCTGTTTTCAGACACACCACTTCTGTACCTGAACTTGTCCTTTCGGCTGCCTTCTCACAGCAGGGAAAAGTTCCAGATGTCCGAGGGAGAGGGGGTGGGAAGGCTGTACCCGGATAGTGCGGCGGGCGTGCACGCCTCTGTCATGGTCTGCGTCTGCCCCTTCCTTCATGTGCCTCCTGGTGTTCTCCATCCCTCTCTAGATTCCCTTTTGTGTCTCATAGCGCCCTCATGTGTCCTTTATCTGCGTCTCATTTATGTGTTTTCTGTTGGTAGGCATTCGATCATCCCCATCCCCTCCAGTTGTAGCTCCAGCCTCTTTGTCCCCAGCCCTGTGTCTGTGTGGGTGTGTGCGTGTCCATTCCCCAACTCAATGTGTGTGTGTGAGTGTATTTGGGTGTGATTGGGTGTGTGTGAGTCCTTCCCTCAGTCTTTTAGTTCAGTTTTATGTTTATCTGCCCTCCTTTGGTTCTGCTTCCCCATCCAGATAATTGTTGTCACCTGTCTTCCCTCCAGCCCTCACTCCACACACCTGCTTCCTGTTTCCCTAATTGTTCCTCCCAGTCTATTTAAGCCCTGTCTTGTCTCTGTGTGGTTGTCGGTCCATTGTATGTTGTTGTAAGCGTTGTTTTGTGCTCTAAGTGAGCTTTAGTTCTAGTCTCCACTTTTTGTGCTCTATGTCAGCTTTTGTTCTCCTGATTCAGGACTTTTGCTTTTGGCTTCCTGCCCCTTTTTGGATTTTCAGTTCATCATCCTAAATAAAGGATTTACTTTAAAACGCTCCAGCCTCGTGTCATCTGGGGTAATCTGCATCTTGGGTCCTAACCACCTCCGTGCTCTCAACGTGACAGCCTCATTTACCCAAACATAGCTATTCAGTCAAACATGGCCGACGGAGAGCTAGAATTCCTCTCACTGACCGGGACGTATGTTAAGCATAATTCTGCGCGCACGAAGCTGCATAAGAGACCTGGACGATGAAGCTCTATGGTTAATAAAGGAATCGCGGAAGTGGTGTGAAGCGCTACGCCTCGCGTCTAAGAGACGGTACCGTAGGAGGCGAGCTGCCATGGTTTGCTGCATGCTACAGCAGCGAGCTATCTAGGTGCGCACAGCGTCCCCCGGTCCCCCGGTCCCCCCTGTCCGGAACTCGACCTCACCAGTCTGAAGCAGCCACCCTGTCCGGTCCTGTTACTAGGGGCGTCGTCCGGTTCCATTACGGAAAAGGTTATCCAGATGTTTGTATTCAGACACAAAGGTTTTAAGGACAGAGTCACGAACATTTCTGTTTTTCATGGCCTGTCTGAAGGGGGTTTAGTCAAAAGCTGATTGGTCGCAGCTCCAGGAGCATTTACATTTAACCTGTCCTGCTCTTCTTGTCCAGATGAGAGCTGCCAGGACCGGCCCTCCACCAACTGCCTGTTGGCCCTGAAGGTGAACCTGTGCAGCCACTGGTACTACAGCAAGGCCTGCTGCCACTCCTGCCGCGCCGTGCGACCTTCGACCTCCTAGTCCAGGATGCTGCCTCTGCCCCCTCCACAACCCTTCTCCACCCTGACTCTGACTCCAACACAAAGACACACATTCCAGCCCACATATCTGCAGGATGAACTTTGGCTTCCCCTGAAATCTGAGAAAACCCTTATTTTTAAGCTGAGTTGTACATTTATCGCGGAGAGCTGCAGTGTTTCCAAGCTGAGCGGCGTTCTGCTCTCTCTCTTTGTGTGTCGAGCCTAGAAGCTGCGACATCTGTGTTCTCCTTGTGGAGACGCCAGACTGGTTCACCCAGCTTTCCTTTCAAAGGTGGTTGCAAACCAGAATCAGAATTGAAGTTTAATCATTCCTATTGACAATGGCTCCACCTGCTGGTCTGGCGTGGTTATGTTTGTGTTTGGAGGAAAATATTTTTTTTTAGAAAGGAAATAAAATCTTGTCTAAAAGCACTTGGAGCATCGTAATCAGCAGCTACTGTGAATAACAAGAAGCAGCAGAACCTCCACAGATAATCTGGATTGACGGGACTGTTTTGTTCTGAAAATCGCTTTCAAGCAGCAGATTTGAGATTCCACCTCCCAAACACGTGGAGCTCCAGCTCCTGTTTTATCAGATTAAATTATTCCTCAGATGATTATCCTGCATGGTGAGAATATTTAATACAGAAACTCGTTTATGAAACATTATTTAAGTGTGTTTTTAGACTCTGGCGCTGAGCAGCAGAGCGTGAGAAACTCTCCATCCCACCTCCCTGCTGTTTGGAGCAGCGCCGGCAGGCCTGCAGGACATGGGAGCATATTTATTAGTCATAGCACATTTTCATTTAACATGACGGTCCCGATGCCAGAACCCTGGCTACTCATCGGGTCAACTGATCCCAGGCCAGCTCTGTGTGCGTGAAGCCGGAGGGGCGGGGTCGAGCACGAGCACAGGCGGGACGATTCCTGACACTTGAAGTATGGCTGACATGTATTCAGATGTGTGTTTTTATATAACTGATACCTCTTTGTACAAAACAACCATGGAGATCGTGTACTGTTGATAGTAACTGAACACCTGAAAATACTGACTTGTATTTCAATTAAATAACAGCTAAAACGAGCAGATTTGTTTTCATTCTTACGGGATCTTAAAGCTAGAGGAGTGAGAGAACTGTACAGGAGAGTCAGCCCTTTTATTATAAACAAACAGTGTTGGGAGTAGCGTGGTACAAAAGTAATTAATTACTGTAATGCATTGCTTTTTGCTGTAATGTGGTAATGTAAGGCATTACAGGGAAAGAAAATGGTAATAGTTACTCGGTACAATTGTCAGTAACGCGGTAATTACAATACATTTTTAAACCCAGAATCAAGATGTGGGTTTCTTAAAAACTCAAATTGCAGGAATCCTGAAAAAAGATCCAGTATCCACATAAATGACGTCATTTATGGACTCAGCTTTGCGGGCATTCTATGAGCAGAGAGGACGCAGCGGTAACGGCTCAAACACTCCAGCTGCGTCCTGCTCCACCAAAACAAAGTCATTCGTTTGCGATCGTTTATATCAGCCCCTATTCTCTGGTACTTCATGTACTTTTCAGCTGAGTTCATAATCTGTGCGCCGGTGATTTCAACTCATTGCTTCTGGAGCGCAGCGCAGATTAAGCTTTTTTTGCGTTCGGTAGATCGTAGGAAGTCTAGTTTACAGTTTTTCTGGAAGACGGAGAAAACATGCAGCATGCAGGAAGGTTAGAGAGAGAAAGGGCCAGAAATGATTCACATAAAATCAAGAAAACAAAACAAAGTGCTTGAAAAGAAATAAAGCTGGTAGATTTGTCCCCGATACACATTTTTACCAGTGGAAAGCAATCATATATAAGCATTTAATATTTATACATGTGATAGAATCAGATCACCCCAGAAGTCAGTCCCACATCCAGGGCCGTATCAAGGCATTTGGGGACCAAGGCAAATATGGGCTTGGAGCCCCCACCACCTCACTCCCTGCTCAGTTAACTCATTCACTGCCAGCCATTTCCTGATCACTAACGGCCTTCGCTGCCAGCGTTTCTCACCGTTTCTCACCGTTTTTACTGTTTTTTTAAGAGTCACAGAACGTTGCGCGCTAGCATGATGTCGATGCCAAAACAACCAAAACAAAGAGGATACTCACCTCTTACATCAGGAAGAAGCCGCGTGTTTCGAGCGTTATCCATTCTTTCATAATCCGTTGTCGAATTGTGATCGGCAGACGCTTTTCCGGTTCGCGCCTCACTTTTTTTTTACAGGAACGGCCCAAAACGATCTCCAAACACATGGATGTGTTGCTTCCTGATCATGTGATCTGTGACGTATGTGGATGAAGATCGGCTTCAGGGCTGAGATGTTTGTTCTCTCAGCGCGGGGGCTCGTTCCGATGCTCAAACAGTAAAAAAATGCAAATGACGACTTTAGTCGTCAATGGCAGTGAATGAGTTAATATAAGATGGCAGCGCGCTGAGAGTACAGATTGTTGTTGCTTTTATTTAGTAAACAACCATTTTAAAGAACTGTTATTATATCTGGCTGTGTTTAACAGCAATCCTAGCTCAGACACCACATCACCTTCCACATATATGTCATGAGCTCACTGAGCGTCACATGACCAGATTCATACTGAAGTTGTTTTGGTGAAAGTAACTTAAAGTAATGCAAAAGTAGTGTAATGCCTTACATTTTATAATAAGTAATATTGTAATAATGCAATGAATTACTTTAAAATGAGGGTAACAAGTAATAAATAATGCATTACAGTTTTGAAGTAACTTGCCCAACACTGATAAACAAACAGTGACAGACGAACATGAAGTACAGTTGAGTTATTTTTTCAAGTGAAGCTGCAGAGCTCAGTTCCAACAGCTGTCCAGGCTAAAAGTGTGAGGGTCTGCAACCTGTACAACCATAAAATACTTCTGCTCTAACTTATTAGTCAAGAGCTGCAAAAAACCAACTCATTAAATCATAGTTTGGGCTCTTTTTGCCTAAGGAGCAAAAGTTAAAACACAGTAACTCCCGCAGTCGCACAGGAGGACCAGGGTATCTGCAGGTTTAAGGGAGCCACATTTAAGACTTTTTAAGACCTTTTTAAGGCCACTTTGACCAAATTTAAGCTATTCTTTTAAATTGATTTTAAGCTATAATTTCCAGCTATTGCCTGGAACCGGTGCTAACCACGTCGCAAACGTGGGATTACCCACCTAGTTACCATTAAACTTGCACTTCCCCATGGCGCAAGCTCCCACTAGCTTAACCAGCTAATGTGCTCATCCAAAAATAGCCCCCTTTCACAACCAACTGAATGTGTACGGTTCCGCTTACGGCAACATCACACACAAAAAATGCTGAACACTAACTAGAAATTCTTGTTTATTGGGGCTTTGGTAATTTAAGACCTTTGGAAACTGTATTTAAAGATTATTTGTAATTTTTAAGGATTTTTAAGGCCTTAAATTTAGAAAAGCTAATTTAAGACTTTTTAAGACTTTTTAAGGACCCGCGGATACCCTGGAGGACACAGAGAACATCTGAGCAGCAGATCTGGTGCTTTTGTGATTTTGTGCAACAGTTAAACAGTGAGTGATCTGTGCTAACTTAGCTCAGGGATGCATATTTAGGATTGTGCAGCTCTACAAGCACAAACAGGTAAAATGAAACCGTTGTGATTTTTTTACTCACAGGGGCGCTCCCAGAAAATGTTGACAGGGGTGGCCAGACGGGGCCACAGAAAACGGTGGGGTGGCACACTAAATTCTTCCTTGTGGTAACTCGGGGAGAGTTTAGCCTGTGGCGATGCATTGCATTGCTCCTTTATTTGTTTTAATAAAAAGTATCCAGAGAACTTAACTCAAATTTGAGAAACAAATATTTCAGAAAATACATTTAAGCAATTAAAAATTTTATTTCAAAATTTGTCTTAGAATTTCATTTTGAGTTAATTCGCCTGCTGCCGTCTTCACAAGAACTATGGACTGGTGCCTCTTTAAAATGGTGAGCAGCAGAAACTAACATCGTTTTATGATTTATTATTTTACTTATGATCTATTCATTCATTATTTGTATATTTTTATTGGGTTTTACATTTGTGTCTTGTATAAATTAAATGAATTTATTGTTGGAGTAAACAATATGATTTATTAACACTGGTCTTCCCTGGGGGCAGTAATTTTCTAGGGGTGGCCAAGGCCACCCCTTGGGGGCGCCGTTGTTTACACATTTCAAACAAATGGCATCTGTGCCCCTAGTGATGAATTATTTTTGTTTATAGCTTAATTCACAGACGTCATAAACTCAGCTAACTAATTAACTCTAATTCAGGTAGGCTGGAAGCAAAATGATCATTTTGGGTCAAACAAGGACCTGTTTCATGTCCAGGCCTCCCACACCGGCCAGAAGGGTCGACGCCGCAGCCACAGCTACATCAGATCCAGATGTGTGCAGCAACTAGACGTCGGTGCTGTAGCTTTGGGTCACCACCTCCTTCATGGTGTAGGAGCGGAGCAGCTTCTGGTAGAAACTGGCCAGATCCTCGGGCAGCTCCAGGTCCTGCTGCTGCACAGTCCTGTAGCTGATCCTGCGGCCCCCATTGCACAGTCTCTCTGGATGCTGCAGGTAGAAGGGCATCGAGCAGCGGGCGCAGGAGGGGCAGAAGGCGTGTGCCCGCTGGCACCTGCGCGGTGGGAGAGGCGGGGAGTAACTGGCAGGCCCGTTGGCCTCCGTCAGGAAGGTGGGTGGGTAGGTCTCGGGCTCGTCGCTGTACTGCTCCGGCGTTGGAGGAGTTGGAGGAGCACACAGAGCCAAGGGGCGAGAGGGAGACATGGTGTCAAGCTCTGGTTCCTCCTCTTCCCCCTTCTCAGACTCCTCCTGTCTACAGCAGTAATACTGCAGCCAGAAAACAAAAGGCACTTCTGACTTGAGCAACATTTTTAATCGTAGGTATTTGACTCACGCGAGTAACAGTCGTACCTGCAACCTACATAAACACAACACAGCGACGATGGTCAGTAAGATGACTGCAGCCAGAATGCCTCCTGCGATAACCACGGTCCCGGCTGACATTCGAAAACCTCTCCATCAACCACCTGCAGGGAGCAGCGGGGGGAGGAGGAAACACGGGAAGGAGAGGAGGTGCAGGAGCAAGAGAGGGGAACGGGCAGGTAAGAAGAGGGAGGTGTCATTCAGGAGAGGAATGAACAGATGGGAGGAAGATGATGGAAGTACGAGGAAGAAGGAAGGTCAAACAAGAGAAACACGGATTATAATGTATCACGAATGTTTAAACTAGAGATTAGGTGATGGTAAGTCAGATTCATTCAAGTCCAATCATCCATTTATCTCCAACCATGAATACATAAGACTACGGTTAAATTTATGTCTGCAGATTTTCACCCTCTGGTGCTTTTTAGATGTACGGGTCGAGTCCCGACTCAGACGGTTCCATCGTAGAACAATCTCACCAATAGAGGCGCTGATGTCCCTCATGCCTTCCTGTTCACATTTCATGTGATCATTCAATCACGTATGACCTCCCAAGAGAGCTGAAACGACCTTGTTCTGTTTTATCAGCTGGAGTTAGCTGCAAGTCCTCGTTAGTTCGCACAGCCTGCCGAAATATTCGCCAAAGGCAGATATGAGCAGCAACAAAGCATAAAACATTCATGTTTCTGTGAAAGTTTTGGGTTTGAGTCGTGTTGCATGACAGAAATGAACTCAGCTGCGTGTTTTCTGGCTTCCTGCACAATCTGGACGATCTGGCAGGTGATAAACTCACTCAGTCTAATGAGAAACACAAACCTAATTATGAGGATCTTTATTAAAGCAACAGTAAAGGGATTTTATAGGAATGCTGAGCCGTTTTGGCTTGCTTTTAGCACCCACTAGCGTTAGCGAAACCAAAGGTGAAACTTTTTAACATCTTAATCTGACAGCTGAGATGTCTCCTCGGCCTTCATTAGTGTCTACAGGAGCGGTTCATCTCTAAGTTAATCAAATCAGCTGTGAAAATGATTTTAAAATATGAAAACATTGCATAGTATCCCTTTAACACTTTAGGCCAGGGGTGTCAAACTCCAGTCCTCGAGGACCGGCGTTTGACACCTGTGCTTTAGGCTATTGTTTTCAAATTGGTGTTGGTGATTCTTGATGCTGAAACCTGACCCGCCTTCTCCTGACCAGAAATTACACTTTTGTGGTTTGTGTAGTTTCACCAGTGGGAAGTCTCCACCTGCTTCTGGCAGCCAGTGAAGCTGGAGGAGAAGCGGGGTGATGTGGGTGTGTTTGGAGGACTTGGTCAGAAGCCGAGCACAGGCGTTCTGAACCACCTGTAGACGGTTCAGGGAGGTTCTGCTCAGACACGTGAAAAGAGAGTTACAGTAGTCTAAGCGTGAGGAGATGAAGGTGTGGAGAACTGTCTCAAGTTCAGAGCGGGACAGAATGGGACTCAGCTTAGCAACGTTCCTGAGATGGAAGAAGGAAGAGCCAACAAGAGAACTGACATGAGAATCCAGGGTGAGAGCTGGGTCAAAGGTCACGCCAAGATTCCTGACAGAAGGTTTGGTGTGAGAAGCAAGCTGACCAAGAGAGTCTCTGACTTTGGGAACCAGCTTGTCTGGGGCACAGATGAGGATCTCAGTCTTATCTTCATTCAGCTGAAGAACGCTCCCACCATCCAGGTTTTGATAGAGTCTAAGCAGGTGTGTAACAGCTGCAGCTTAGACATCTCATGGGGCTTAAAGGAGATGTACAGTTGGATGTCATCTGCATAAAGATGGTAGGAGATTCCTTTGAAGGATCTCAGGATGTTCTGAAGAGGAAGCAGATAGAGGAGGAAGAGCAGAGGCCCCAGCACAGAACCTTGTGGGACACCATGGGTAAGAGAGGTGGTGGAGGACCTAAACTTGGAGACGGCCACAGAAAAGGAGCACTCAGAGAGATAAGAGGAGAACCACTCCAGAGCAGATCCTGATAGGCCTACCCAGTCTCTCAGCCTCTCCAGTAGCAGGTGATGGTCAACAGTGTCAAAGGCTGCAGTCAGGTCCAGCAGGACCAGAACAGAACAGTCCCCTGCATCACTGTGAGTCAGAAGGTCATTAGAGACCCTAAGAAGAGCTGTTTCAGTAGAATGAGCTCTACGAAAACCTGACTGGAAGCTATCATAGATGTTATGTTCATCAAGAGCAGCTGTGAGTTGTTTAGCCACAACCTTTTCCAAGATCTTGGAGATGAACGAAAGTTTAGAGATGGGTCTGAAGCTGCTATGGAGAGAGGGGTCGAGACTCGGTTTTTTAAGAAGCGGGTGGATTACAGCGTTCTTAAAGTAAGCAGGGACCTGACCAGAGACCAGAGAAGCATTAATTATAGAGAGCATGCTGGGACCGATGGACTGAAAAGCACTTTTAAACAAAGATGAGGGTAAGATGTGGAGGGGGCATGCGGAGGTCTTCATAGAGTTAACTAGTTTGGTTAACTCAGGCAAAGAAACAGGAGCAAAGCTATCTAGGATGGTGGGTCTGGTTGGAGTCGGGAGAGGCAGCGATAAGGCTGAAGGAGAGATGCTAGATCTAACCTTATTGACTTTGTCCACAAAGAAAGACAGAAAGTTCTCACAGTCTGCAACAGAGTGGATGGAGGCTGTAGGAGAGGCAGGAGAGACGATGCTGCTGATGGTGTTAAACAGCACCTTGGGGTTCCCTTTGCTCTGGGACACCAGGTTGGAGAAATAGGAAACCCTAGCGTCTCTGACTGCAGAGTTAAAGGATGTTACAAGATCACTTGTCTTGAGTTACCAGCTACAAATTTGTGGTGATTAAGTGAAATGGGGCGATTTGGGACCTATCACAGTAAAACTTGACCCTTTTGGTCCTGAAGAGGCAGGGCTTGTGTGATGTCATCATCCGACCATTCATTTTAGTTTGTGGCTGGATGTGGAATGACCACAGAAGTTTTTGTAACTCTACTCTATTTGGTTATGAAGTTATAGCCATTTATATTTTTTTGGCGAGTAGTCAAAATTCGAGGTCTGGCCACGCCCCCTCAGCATATACGAAAAGTCAGTTTAATTTTTTTTATTTGATCGCCCATCTGTTCTGAGCACTTTCCCACAACTTTCAAGGTGATTGTGCAAAAATTGATCGAGTAAATCAATCAGAAGCGGACCCTGGAAACGGCCAAAATGGGGTCAAAATCACCACTTCAAACCAAAATGGCCGACTTCCTGTTTGATGTTTACCATGGTTGCAGGAGGCTTTTCTGTGCGGACTGTTAAGTACTACAAGTGTACAAAATTTCATAACTGTATGATAAACTAAGCTTTATGGAGGGGGGGGTGGGGGGGGTATTTTTTCACATTCTAGGGGGCGCTGTGGAGCTAGTTTTATTGCGATGTTTTTGGGACCTTTAAAATACAAAATTTTACACCTCGCCTGACATGTGTGCAAAGATTCCTGAGTTTTCTGGTATGTTAAGGCCTCCAAAAAGCCAATTTACTTGGCAGAAGAAAAATAAACAGAGCAGATACAACAGGCCTTCGCAGCGCTTTCGCTGCTCGGTCCTAATTAGCTGAATAAGATGTAATCAATCTTTTCCTGAAGCGGAATGAACTGAAGCTAAAAGAACAACAGAAAAAAGAACATCAAATATTCTTCTGAGAGTCCCATTCCAACACCGCCCTCTGCTGTCAGACCCTCTACCGTTTATGTTTGATTTTTCTGTTTTTAGGCTCATAACAATAACAAAGAGTCATTGCATCTTTATTCAGGGTCATTTTACTTAGAAATGTCTGGTAATGAAGGAGCAGCAAGAGGAACCCGAACAGTAGAGAGGATTTGTATTTAGCAATAACAACAAGAGAGATCCAGAACTCCTTAGCAACCGTGCTTGTCTCCACCCACATCCATCCATCCATCCACCATCTGGACTCTAACCAAATGTAAACATAAAGATGCAAAGTCAGTATCATGAATATGAAGTAACCATCCATCCATTGTCTTTGTGAGGGGCTGGTGCCCATCTCCGGCAGGCTCCGGGCAAGCATGCGGGGTACACCCTGGGCAGGTTACCAGTCCATCAGGGAAACACAAAGGCACACACACACACACACACACACACACACACACACACACACACACACACACACACACACACACACACACACACACACACCTAATAACAAATTTAGAGAGACCAATCAAACTGAAAGTCATGAACTGCTCTGTCTTCTCCATCCCCAGTGAGTCGTGGAGGATGGCTGCTTATACTGAGCCAGGATTCTCTGGAGGTTTCTTCCTGTTAAAAGGGAGTTTTCCTCTCCACTGTCGCTGCATGCTTGCTTAGTATGAGGATTGCTGTATAGTCACTGACACTAGTCAGTGACTTGATGCAATTTGCTGGGTTTCTTATATAGGACACATTATTTCTGATTGGCTTAATGAACTGACCTGAATTGGAATGTTTATTATGTGAAGTGCCTTGAGACGACTCTTGTCGTGATTTGGCGCTATATAAATAAACTTGAATTGAGTTGAAATGAATTGAGGAAGCCGGAGAACCCAGCGTGCACAGGGAGAACATGCAGACTCCACGCAGAAAGACCCCAGATTGGGATTTGAACCCAGCAACAACACCAGCCACTGCTCCACTGTGCAGTCCCATTAAATAACCATAAACCTGACATTTCTCTGCTGAATATTTAATAAATGTAACGTGATTCTTTATTTAATTAGTTTTAAAGGTGTTCTAAAAGTAACAGACGTGACAGTGAACACATTTTGGGAGGTGAAGTAAAACATGATGATGAATAATTCATCACGTTTTTCACCTGTTAGTTTTGTTTGTTCCCTCTGTCGTGGTGGACGTTACATAACGGGGCTGAAATTTGGCTGCTTTTATTTGTCCTTAAAGAAATCTTCAGAGTGGAACTAAAACTTTTCCTTTGAACTATCAAGTTCAGCAGAAAAGATGAAATTATAGATCAGCTGACTTCAGAGATTAATGTTCATGTAAAGTCATTAATAAAGTCTTTTAATCCAATGGTGGATAGTTTGTCATTCATGGCACAATCAAAGTTTAATGCTTTCAATGCAAATCTTTCAAAACGATCTGTCTGTCATGTTCTGTGTCCCTTTGTTCCCCAGCCCCTCCAGTTCCCACTCCAGGTTTTCCTCTTGTGCCCCATGATTATCCCCAGCCCTCTGTAGACTTCCCTCAGGTGTCCTTCTAATCATTCCCCACAATCAATCTTTATTTAGTCCTCCTCATCCGTCTAGTTATGAGTTGTTTATGTTTGGCCCTCAGTCTTTAGGTTTAGTTCAATCCTTGTGTTATAGGTTAAGGTTTTCTGTCATCCTGCTTGTTTCTTTCTCCCTCTATTAGATTATTGTATTCACCTGCCTTCCCTCCAGCTCTCACTAGCACACCTGCCACCTGCTCCCCTGATCACCTCCCTCTGTGTTTAAAACTCTTGTCTTGTCCTTCAGTGTTGTCGGTCCATGGTATGTGTCTGTGTCAGTGTTGTTTTGTTTCCCCACCTGGTCTCTAGTAATCTGCTCAGAAAGTGAGCTTTTTGTTTTGTCAAGGGATTTGGACATTTGACTCGGCTTCCTGCTCTTTGGGATTTTATTTTTGTTCCCCATCCTAAATAAAGGAATTTTTTTTATTTTACATCCGCTTCTGCCTCGTGTCGTTCTGGGTGTTCTGCATTTTGGATCCTAACCTCCTGAACGTGACACGATCATATTTCATTAAGGACGTGAACAGACGGACACTTAAAGAGCAAGTCACCCCCAAATCAACTTTTTTTTTCTGATAAACTATATAAATGCGTGTCTAATGGTGCTGCAGACACGTGTCGTCAATAGTTTGGCACTTCAGTGCATCTTAGTTAAAATTTTAATTTTCTGCCTAAAACTGTCAGTGTTGTGCCGTTGTCAGGATAAAACTCTGCACTGTATTAGAATTTAAGTCTGCCACCGCTATTGGCTAAGAGGTATGCTATGATGTAAACGGGTACATTATGGTGTCACAATGCTGTCGTGTGTGTGTGTGTGTGTGTGTGTGTGTGTGTGTGTGTGTGTGTGTGTGTGTGTGTGTGTGTGTGTGTGTGTGTGTGTGTGTATTTGTTAGCGGCTCCGCCCTCTCGGTCTGCTAGGCAACAGCATTTGTTGCATTTTTCAAACAGGAAGTGGGAGTGGAGTTAGAATCTGGTAGGGGGTGACTTGCTCTTTAAAAAAACACTTTATTTTAAACAGCAGGTAAATGTGTGAAACTATTCCATCATTTCTGGATAAATTCCAAAAATGTGAAAATAAAATAACATTTTTTACACCATGTCTTAATAAGTGTTATTATAGTGATGTATTTAAATGTTTAATCAGTCGTGAAATTTGCTGCATTTTAACAACTTTTACTCTTTTATTCACTTTTTCAGGTTTTTCTTTGAAATATTGATTTTAGTATTAAATAGAAAATCAGATAAATACTTCATACATATTCCACAAAAAGTTAACATTAATCTAATCTTTATCCAAACGTTAAACGGAGAGAATTAACAGTTTTACGCACATTTGGCGCTTTTACGCATCAGACAATAACTGCGCCGCGCTGCTGACCCGCAGCTCCGCGTAGACCCAGAACCACGGCAGGTCCAAACAAACCGGTTTTCTTACCAGCCACGTTAGTTTTTGGGTCGTCTCATGGCTTCTCCGGTGCGCACCGGTTTGCGGGAGGCGCCGATGAGCGCGGGAGAGTCGCGTTTCTGCTGGAGGAGACTGGAAGAGGTGCAACCACCACTAAACTGCTCACCTTCATCCACCTGCGGTCTTTAACATAACAGACCTGAAAACTTTGTGTCTCACGACCCGTTTAGAGCTCCAGAGAGGCAGCGAGGAGGAAACTTTTCCAGATATAATAAACTCTTTTCTCTCCCATTCCCGTGGTTGTCCTCATTAAAGGTTGGAAACAGACTCCATGATGGCTGCAGCAACATCAACAGAGAAAGGTGATTAAAACAAAATCCTCAATTTGGTGTTTTTCAGCCCTAAGAAAGAAAAAAGCATCTGGTCCGGATGCTGCAGGAGGAAAGGCTGGTGGGAGCGCAGGTCCAGTAATAATTGATTTGTGTGTGTGTGTGTGTGTGTGTGTGTGTGTGTGTGTGTGTGTGTGTGTGTGTGTGTGTGTGTGTGTGTGTGTGTGTGTGTGTGTGTGTGTGTGATGCTTTCAGGACATATAAAGTGCGTCACAAAAACAGAGAAAGGAAACATGAGATCCAGATTTTTCTGCTTGTCTCCAACACTGAATCAGGATTATTGTTGATTCTGAGTTAAAAAAAAGTGATTTATCTGGTTGATTCGATGCATTTTGTTATAAAACTGTCTTTTTTAAAATCCTGCTCATTTGTGGTCGTTGGTTGAATAACACAAGACAGACTGAATCGCTTAATTTGTGTGATTGTTTTAGTTTATTTAATCAAAAGGACAAAATCACCTTTTGACCATTGATGCATTTATCAATGAAAACTATAAAACTAGTTAAAGATGGCAGAAATAATCAGCAGCAGCAGCCTTAACGGAGCTTTTCAAACCTCATTCTCCTCTAAAATCAAACAGAGCTGCAGAAGAAGCAGGTTCTGTTCTTTGTTTTGTCTGAATGTGAGGTTCTGTTCGGACCAGGACCAGGGTCTGAACAGATCCAGACCAGCTGATGACGCAGAGACACGACGCAATGCATGAAGTCTGACATCACAGCCGAAACACGAGATAAACGTTGCGGTTTGGAGGGAAAGCAGCAGGGACATCTTACCTGAAGGGCTGATCCTCCACAGAAGAACCTGGCATTCAGAATTCTGCTCTCTTCCTAACTTCTCTAACACAAAGAAAATTCCAGATTATCGGAAGCTCAAAAGACAAAACAACACAGGAGCTGAGACGCTCAAATCGCTAAAGTTAAAGATTTTTAATCCAAAATAAATTTTATTTTAATCTGCAAAAGTTGTGGCATTAGAATCCAGAAGGGGGTGGAGCTTATTGTTGCAGGAAAGTGTCTCTTTTAGTTTTAATTTCATGCACTCCTGGTGATTTTCTATAAAACACCTAAATTACATGAAAACACATAAATTCAGTTGGACTTTTTCTTTTCTTACTCATTTAATGACTAGACTGACTCTAAACCACGACTCGTGTGTAACGTGGTATGAGTGATCAATAAGCAAGGGCGCCCCAGTCTCGCTCAGTCTGACGCTGTCGTTGTGTCCTTGGGCAAGTCACTTAACCCACCGTGCCTGCTGGTGGTGGTCGGAGGGCGTCTGTGTACGACCCCAGGGCAGCTGTGGCTACAATGTAGCTCATCACCACCAGGGTGTAAATGTGTGTGGGTGAATAACTGATTGTGTTGTAAAATACCTTGGGGGTTCCAGGACACCACCACTACTACTACTATTACTACTACTACTAGTAATCGCACTCTCCAGTCACATCCAGATGTAGTAACTTTACAGCACGGGCATTTTGAGACAAAAATAATTATGGTTGAGGTTAAGTAAAGGAATTCAGCCAAGACCTTATAGCTTATTAATGAAAGTTTACATAAATCTTTATTTATATAATAAATAAACCCAAAATGACTGTCGACCCTAAAATGTCTCTTCGTGTCTCTGTGACGGCATGGGCGTCCAGCGGGTTCCCCGGTTCTCATCTAGCTCCCTGAGACTCTAAACATGACCTGAAAGTGAGTGAGTGAATTTCACCCGCATAAGTGAGCCCAGTGGAACCCCCCCTCCTTAAACTGGAGGAAACATCGCGTCAGCCTTCATGTTCCTTGTTCTGAACGATATTCTGACTGAAAGAACAAGAGCTCCGATCGGTCAGAGTCAAGCGGGATTACAGAGAAGCACGAAAAGACGACGACATCAAAACTTTATGTCACATTAAAGATTCTGCATCTCCTTTGTGACTCCCGGGTTTGTTGGCTGAAGCAGAACAAATCCTGAAGGACGAAGGAGGAAGACGCTAAACTGGTCTCTGTGGCAGCAGCAGCATGAACCTTGTTTTAGTTAAAAGGACGAAATGTAAAAGGCAACCAGTTTTTTTCTATCGCTATAACAAGCTCTCACCCACACGTCAGACACTTGTTCTAAACGTTCCTACAAAACACAGTTGGCCAAATGGAAATTTTCTTCTCAAAAACACATTTTGATAAACATATACGAACTCTTCACTTCAAAACGGAGCATATCTGTTGTGGCACTGAAACATCAGACTCTTTTAGGAGTTTATCGCTGTAAAATTCTCACTGTATTCTTACATACTGTACCTTTAACTCTGAGTGAGAAAAATGAATCAGAGCTAAATTATAGAAACTAATGTAGTAAAAATATGAATATGAGAGTCAAAAACAGCAACTCCTCATGATCCCTACAGGAAGAGACTGTTGGGTATTTTTATAATTGTACCTTTTTGAGGCCTAAAAGATGCCCAGTTTGTGTCATAAACACATCATGAATCTCTGTTTTTGCCAACTGTTGTTGTTCATGAAAGGTTGAGCGAGGATGTTGATTGTGGGTTTCCAACTGAAAACTGTGCCTCTGTAACCTGAGAAGGCCCGCCTTCTCCCCCATCCATTTGTGAATAAAGCCCCTGACGAACTAGGAGCACATTGGGAGTGACGTGGGGAGGCCTCGGAGGAGGTTTCTCTGCGTTAACTCTCCATGTTTTGGAGACTCAGGGTAAAATGTCTTCCTTGTTGTCATGTGTGTTATTACAGGTTCCAGGGTTATGGAGATTAAATATTACCTAACATTCTGGTCTCCTGATGGAGACCGCGGGTATGCAGAGCTGGTGAGGTGAGGGCTTTGAGGCTGGAGCAGAGTGGGGGCTGGTTGGTTGAGTCCAGCTTCTCGCATGTTGAGCCACGCACATGGACATTACAAATAATCAATTTACTCTCTCTCTCTCTCTCTCTCTCTCTCTCTTTTCGGGTGTGTCGTTCTTTAAGGTAATATGGGATAAAATCAAATTACCTATCAGAGACGATGAGAGAACAGCAGCACCCAGAATTAACTTCAAAACACTGCTGGCTGTGAGTTATTCTGGTTGTACGTCCTCATCTTGTCTCCAGTCTGACCTCTACAGCGGGACTTCAGCTTGGACACAAGCTGCTCTCCTTTTTCCATCTAAAGGAAAAAAAAACCAGGATGAGTCAAATCTCAGCAGGAAGAGGCAGAAAGAGGAAAAATAACCTCTAACTTCTCAGCTCCATTAATATTACAAACTCTTGTCTGTACAATACATAGGAATCTCAGCCAGCTTCGTTCTCTGAATAATTTACGCAATAAAATCTTTTCTTTCTCTGCCTCTTCTCTTAAAGTCGCCTCTTCTTGGTGATGCTCTAAGTGGAGCGATGCAGAAAATCGTGGAGGTAAAAACGGCTCAGCTGGACGCAAAAACTCACTGATTCCGGAGAGGAGATGTCTACTAAGAGATGACAGTCAGGTGATTCTGAGACATGCATCTTCACTCTGCTCATTGCTTTTTTATAAAGTCTTTTGTAAAGTGATCCTTGATGTAGAAAAATCACAGGATTATCTTCATAAAATGAGCCAAAGAGCTAGAATTTGTCTATTTTGGAATGAGGACCATATTCACATGTATGCAGATGACATGTTGTTTTATACGCGTGCAAAAACTACAGCGCTGAGGTGGTAAATAAGGTGACTGATGCTCTCATTCCTTCTCTGGATGTAACACAGACATCTCTCTTTAAAACATCCAGATGGAGCATCAGAATTAGTACCTTCGTGAGAAACCTGCCATATCTAGTCCTAAACAGGTCTACTGCCCTCTGGTGGGGGATCTGCAAGTGGCAAAGGCCAATTTAATTAGTTATTACAGAAGAAGAAGAAAACAATAATCGCTTAACTCAAGAACTATGTTGAAAATAAAGCATAACCATCAATGATTGCATGAACACTTTAAATAACCGTCCAATGACAAACAACCATGACTCCCCCAGTTTGCTAATCCACTCCTATTTCATTACCGGGGCTCTTCATCCTCTTCTTCAGAGCCCAGAAGAGAACCAACACTTTTATTAATAATGAAACAAGGATTTCTAGTTTATGGGTTGGCCCCCTCCCTGATGCTCTGACCCTTTTTTTAAAAAAAAGAAAGAGGCTTTTTTAAAGAATATTTTAACTCATCTCCAGTCAAGCGTGCAGAGAGCATCCCTGTTCGAGGCTTTTATTGCATACGAGCCCGAGAGCGGTTGAATGTCCTCGTCTCTCCACGCCATCTCAGGCTGTTCCTTCCCACCAACACCACAGAAGACGGTTCAAGCGTTCAGCTGTCAGCGGCTGCAGGATTACTGCACACAAAAAGGGCTCAAATCTACCGTCTCAGCAAAAGGATGGTGACAGATGGACGCAAAAGTTTCAATGCAAATGTGAAGGAAAGCAAACGGCACGCTGGTTTAACTGGGGAGGAGTTTCAAAGAGTAGAAAGAGAAAATGAGTTTAAAGATTTTGTCACAGTGGAGGTCAGGTATTAAATATATGCAAATGGCATCTAGGTGAGAAAAAGAGTGAGTAATCACTTTAATAAACCGTGCACGGAGGTGTCACCAGCACCAAAATAAAGGTAATCAAAACAACCATCTGTCTCTGAGCACATGTGCTCTTCATCCAGTTTAACATGGTGGGCTGTCCCATTCTTCTATTAGAGAAGAGGAGAAAGAGAGGACAAGGAGACGAAGTAGAAACTCTGACTCGGGTGTATCAGATATGATACATTTGGCAGTAAAGCTCAACAAAGACAATACAGTCTGAAAGCAAATCCAAGAAAATGGCTTTTTTTTTGTTCAACAGTCTAAAGAAGTTGGTGTTTTTGCACGCTTGTGACGACTGGAAAACATTTAGATGGTACCAGGATGCCATCAGCCTGGGCCATGCTCCACCTCTGGTCAATTTTTCATGAAACGTGTCTATTATTGTTAATAATTCAGCTTCAGCACAAACCAAAGGACCACATGATGTTGGTCAGAAATATGGTCAACTCACGCGGTTTTTTAAGTCTAAGTTAGAAGTAGAGGAAGTGAATCAGAACAAAATGTGACTCATTTAAAGCAAACTAAAGATGCTTCGAGTTATCTCCTTTACTTCTGAGACCAGTGTCAGATCTATGGATGGGTAGACGAGAGGCCTCTAAACA